CTCTCCCCGAGGGTTCTCTCCCCCTCGAGTAAACCCTAGCCACCGTACCTGAAAAATTGACCAAATCGGCCGGCGCCTCCGCCGGCCGAGCTCAAATCATGCCCCCTCAGCTCAGATCTATCTCTGTACCACCCAAGATTCTCTCTTCCTCCACCGTTCCTCCTCACCCCCCTCTCCCCCGTTCCAACAAAACTCAGTTCCCGACCAAAATTACTGATGTGGTCGTCGATCTTTGTCCAAATCTGAAGCCTCTTCTGGAAACGCCGAGCAAGCCTGGCATCTCTCGAAGCAACTCACTTCCTGCGAAGACCTCTGGAGATTCAACTCGAGAGGGAAATAGCTCAATGGCCGATACTGGCCCTAGCATCAAATCCCCGACGCCCACCCCTGGCTCTGGAGATTCAGCTCGCACAGAGAAAGAATCACCACATGGCTCGAAACAGGACATTCCATCAGCAACACCAACTTGGAGCAAAGTTCTGCAATCCTCGATGAGAACCCTGAAAAAGACAGGCACTCCAACTTATTTGCCCTCAGGTGTTCCCTCGATTGATATTCCAAGTGAATCTCTCACCAATTCTGTGGATGAATGGAAAGAGTTCTTACTTGGACAGTTCTACGGGATTCCGCCGGCCATGGGTAGAGTGATCGGCCTGGTAAATGCCTTATGGCCGAGGAGGAAAGGCAGAGTACGAGTGCAAGATTTAGGCGATGGCACTTTCCTTTTCAAAATGCCGGATGAAGCTACCAAGTTATTCGCTCTGGGCAGGAACATTTGGTATGTCGGATCGAGTCCAATGTTTGTGACCACCTGGAATCCTCATCATAATCCCATCAAGCCGCCCCTCTCGACGGTTCCAACATGGGTCTCGTTCACCCAAATCCCGTACCAGATGTACAGCACGGACGGACTGAGTCGGATAGCTACATGTGTTGGCGAGCCCCTCTACTTTGATCGAGCCACGGAAAATAAAGAGAACGTGACTGCCGCACGCATCTACATTGAAGTTAACCTTCAGAAACCCCTGCCCAAAGAGGTGGTAGTGAATCTGCCGACCGGAAAATCACACCAGATTGGCGTAACCTATGGTTGGTTGCCCCCGCAATGCTCTGTCTGTAAAGAGATAGGCCACTCGGATGGATACTGTCCTCGGAATCCTCTTGCCAAACAGAGGAACGAAAGCAATGTGAACCAGTCAAGACGGGGCCGGAAAGGGGCTGCTAAAGGAACAAGTTCGGTTAAATCTTTGACAGTGGAAAAGGAGCAACATGTAGTGCATCCCAGCTCGACATCAAACCAGACGGAGGTATTAGGTTCCTGCCAATCATCCCCAGCTGAAAATTGCACTACCCAGAATATAACACAACCATTGAACATTCAGTCTAAGAGTGTTCAGCCTATGACATCTTCTGCCAAGCACCTTGCTGAGTCATCACAAATGACAGCCCCGCTTACTTCATCCGCAGACCAGCAACCACTCCATCTCACTTTACTTGATTCTCTTGACATACCCCTCGACACTCAACCGGCTACATCAGAAAGCTCCGCTCCTCCAGACTCCCTTTCTTCAGACGGCTTCACAGTTGTAACGAAGAAAGGAAAAGGGAAAGGAAGTGGCCGAAAGGCCACAAACATCGTCTAAATCTTTTGTTGGGACCCATGTTTTTTGTTCGTAATGTACGGGGCCTGAATGGCCGGAACAAACGCTTTTGGCTACGCAAGTGGATTTTGGACAATAAACTCCTTGTTGGAGGTTTATTAGAAACGCACATAAAAAAAGACAATGAGCATAGGATCAAGGCAGCTCTTCCTGCGGACTGGTACTATCACTGCAACCACGACGCAGATATTTCGGGACGTATCTGGATTGTATGGCACCCGTCGGTGAAAGTAATTGTGTATGAATCCAACATACAGACACTCACATGCGGTATTGAGATCCCTCTGCATGAAATCCGCTTCACAGCAACACTAGTGTATGGGAAGAATTCGGCGCACGAACGTTCTTCTCTATGGCAGAATCTAAAGAATTTGGCAGATTATCCACCTCTCGGACAATCTCCTTGGTTGGTTGTCGGAGACTTCAATCAACCGCTATTCCCGACTGAAAGATCGGATTTTCTGAACAATAATATACCATCACAAGGAATGGAAGCCATGGAAGAAGCTATCTCTCACGCAGGACTGTCGGATATAGAAAGCAGAGGGCTCTTATTCACATGGTTTAATAACCAATCCGCCAACCCTCTAGCTGTCAAACTAGATCGAGCGATGGGCAATGCACCTTGGCATATCGAGTTTCAAGAGGTGTATGTGGAATTCAAAGAACCGGGAATGTCGGACCACGCAGCATGCCAATTTTTCTTCCCATCTCCCATCCGTCAGGTTCGCCGTTCATTTAAATATTTCCATCATATTGCCACCTCTCCTTCTTTTCGGCAGGTCATCAAGAACAATTGGATGGGCTCATCAGTGCCTGGAACGATGCAATATCGACTATGCCGCAGTCTCAAGGGGCTGAAGCAACCGTTAAGACAATTAAACGCGGAGCAATTCAGCAATATATCTCTTCGCACGAAGCAGGAACATCTAAAATTAAAAGGGATTCAACACCAGCTATATTCTGCTCCAAATGAGCAGCTAGTGGAGGCAGAGAAACTGCAAAGAAAGAAGTGGGTAGAGCTGGCCAATGCTGAAGAGATATTTTTCATGCAGAAATCCCGCATCCGATGGTTGCAAGCGGGAGATCGAAACACGACTTTTTTCCATAAGGTTGCAAAAGCGCGAGTGGCTAAGAATCATATTCACTACTTGATTGATCAGCAAGGGAATCGAATAGACCAGCCAGAAGAAATAAAAAACCATGCGGTGGAATATTTTCAGGATCTTATCGGTAAGCCAGACGAGACAGTGTCAGTGACAGCAGAATCTGGAATTGTTGAACTATTCAATCTAGAAGGAAACCTGTCCACCAATACTTTGTGTACTTCCATTCCGACAGCTGAGGAAATTAAATCAACCTTGCTAGCAATGCCAAACAAGAAAGCCCCAGGACCAGATGGATTCGGGAAAGAGGTCGACAGTT